AGGCTGAGGCAGGAGACTCGCTTGAGCCCAGGAGTTGGAGGTTGCTGTGAGCTGTGATGCCATGGCACTCTACCCAGGGGACTAGCTTGAGGCTCTGTCTCAAAAAAAAAAAAAGAGATGAGGTCTTGCTATATTGCCCAGTCTGGTCTGAATTCTTGGTTTCAAGTGATCCTCCAGAAGTACTAAGATTACAAACATAAGGCACCATGCCAGGATGTCAGGCCACTCAATTCTTTGGACACAGCAGGGGGTGGGACTCAACAGCTCAAAACTCTTAAGGACTTCTGGAAGCAAAGCGCCTCATATCTCTGATTCTCTGCTCACTTCCAGGCACAACTACAAGAATTACTCCATGGAGTCAAGGACACATTTTCGAATCCAGGCAGCCACAGTCCAAGCCAGATCTTCCCTAGAGAATGGCCACAGATCTATGGTTTCATCAGTGTCCTTGTAGCTTTGTGCAGCATCCCAGGCTGGAAGACAAACTGAGACAACTGGATAGAGCTCCTGGAAACATTTCAAAAGATCCCCTCCCCCTCCCCTGCCTTCGGGGTCCACCGGTGCTCCTGTGGGATGGTACAACATGGGTACCCATGCAGAAGCCAAGCTGGCATTTTCACCTGTGTGGCCAAGGGCCTTTGTCAAGGGCAGAGCAGGTGGCGCCCTCTGCCTGCCCTATCACACATACGGGTACTTGTTTTTCACTGTGATGTTTAAAAAGAATGTATGAACAGTTTACATTTTCCTTAGAAATACATTGATGGGGTCATAGTTGGCTTTAAAAAAAAAAAGAAACCAACACCAACCAACCACCTGTAAATTGTTTTCACTCATAATGTTCTGGAGGTAAATCTCTTCTTATGAAGCCAAAGGGCAAATTGCTTTCCAAACTTCAGCAAGTTCCCAGCTTCTGTGACTGGAAGGACCTTCCTTTCAGAGGACGTGGAACACCCAGGAGAGTCTGTCTCGGGCTTTGATGCTTCTGCGGGTTGGGCACAGAGGATGCTCAAGGACTCCTACTCACTACCTTACTTCTCACACTTCATTTCACACCCTCTGTAACTTCCCAATTTAAAAATCACACACAGCTTTGTACTGAGATAAAATTTGAGCCTTTCTGTAGAAAAATCAATCTCTACCATTCCTCATCTACATTAGGGAATGTAGATGTCAAGGCCTGGTGGAGAAGCTATGTGGCCCTTTCTGTGCCAAACCAGGCACTTTGGAGGGAAAAGGGAAGGTTCTCGGAGACCAGTCTGCACCCTTCCTGTAAGCCAAATTGAAACCACTGGGATAATTTATGACATATAGACATCTCCTGTAATTTGTTCCAAGGTACATTCATTCACGGACAGTATTTTTCTTAGAAATAGAATTGTTATTCTTGGCCTATTGCATATGCGTTAGATTTTTCAGTTAAGAGCAAAGAGATACAGTAGGCCCTCCATAGATGACCTCCTCCCTACATCGACCACTTCCTTCAGTTGACCTAATTTTCATAGACCAGACATGTATCTCTATAGTAGGTCTAGTTCCTTATGTTGACCATCTCCGTATGTCGATGAGTTTGTTATAGTCCTTTGGATGGTCAGTTTACAGAGGTTCTACGGTATTTAAATTATAAAATTTATACACTTAAAAGAGATCATGCAACATTTATTTCAATAAAAAATGTGTCGCTTGAATTCTTGGGCAGGGCAGAAAAGTCTTGATCAGAAGCTACACGGCCCATGTATGTTTCATTTAGACAGCACAATGTTTTGAACAATTTTGAAGCTAATTGCAGTGGTCACTTCTATAATCCCAGGACGTTGGGAGGCCGAGTGGAAGGATCACTTGAGGGCAGCAGTTTCAGGTTGCAGTGAGCTGTGATAGCACCACTAGGTGACAGAGCTAGCCCCTGCCACAAAAATAACCATTTTGTGTTAAGTTACCAACATTTGTATCTGGCTTCTGGCCTCTAATTTAAAAAAAGGCAACATTTAGCCTCTTTCCCACAACAGTCAGCTACAGCTACTAGAGTCTAAACATATCACCTTTCTGGTCCCTTAAACGCATCTGAATTTGCACCCTTTGGGACTGTTAAAGTGAGAACTCAAGTTCAGCCATCAAAACCAAGTTTGACCATTCACATACTAACTTCAGCACCCTTCAACTTAACCATCTGCTTGGAAGGAAAATCAGATACACAGTAAAAATATTCACCTGTGAAAAAAATGCATGAATGCAATGTCTGTAAGAGAAAAGCCACAGTCACCCTTCCCAGTCTCTTCTAGCATTGTCGAATTTAGCAAACACCTATGAGCATCTGCAAGGGGCTGGGTAAACATCTTAAAATACAGTTAAGCAGCCTCCTATGAGTGACAGTGAATGAAGTCATGGGTTTTAGGCAAAACATTCTCATAAGGAAAAAAAGCAAAACCCCTTCATCCAAGATCTTTTGCACTGAGTAATGTCAGAGTAGAAATGAGCTAGACAAGAAAACAAAGAAACACACCTACCTCGAGAATGATCCCTTTACAAGCTATCTCTTTCTGAAGCCTGGATGCTGGGCAGGATAGGGTGAGGGGTGGTAAGAGACAGGCTGTGGAAGGAGGGTGGGCTTCTGTGACTTCCCCACATACTACAATGCTGCCTGCTTCTGTATCAAAGCAGCACTGGATTCAGGATGCCAAACATACAGCTTGAAACATACAGTTTATAAAAAACTTCATCTCAGCATTCACTTCAGGTGCTTTTGCTTTTATTGTAAAGTGTCAGGGTGATTTCTTTATCAATGTCTACTTTTATAGAATTCTGGCTGGGATTCATGAATTAGCCTGTGTCACCCTGCCTCCCTGGTTGCAAACTGGTAAGATTAATCAATGGATTTTGCCTCCTGTATCCCACCTGCAACTTCAGAGATAACACCAAAAACATGTATGTGATGGAGTAAAAACACTGAGTTTCTAACTCCAGCATAGCCCATGCAGGGGCCTTTGAAAGTTGAAATTACATCATGAGTTTCTCCGTGTTTTCTTGAGTCGTTTCTGGTCACTGCTTAACAGTGCAGACCTTCCCAGCACATCTGCTGTGAAGAAGCAGCTGATCAGGTGGACAGTTTGGGCCTGGAAATATAGAGACCTGAATTCTAGTCCTTGATTTTGCTATTGATTTTCAGAGTGACCTTGAGAAAGTCAATATCCTCTAAAAATCAGCGGTTTGAAAAAGATTAAAGCTCTTTCCTGCTTTCCACAGCTTCTGTTTCTGGGTTGCCATCTTTAAAGTGAGGCAACAGATACACTTCCCTGCCTTTCTGTTGAACCCCTTGTGTCCCCGAGCAGTTCAACAGGAACTAACAGGCTTCCTTAAACTAGGGCTCCATGTTAGCCAGGACACCAGAGAGCAAACGATTCTCACTTAGACAAAGTGCAAATCCTATACCACATATATGAACTCAGTTGTTAGGGAAGTGGCAAGTGTAACATAATCTGAACAGACCCGTGGCAACGGGACGTCTACTTCTCACACTTACTGGCCCTCAGACTGGCAGGCTGCCTTCCAGTCGTGTGCTGGTCCCTATCAGCTCTCCCACATGTTGGCAGGTTTCCTTATTACTTATCTCTTGAGTTAGAATGGGAGTGTTTCCAAGGCAGTTATCGTCATTCACAGCAAAAAGCCATGACCTGACATCAAAGCCAGGACCCTAAAAGGCCAGCATCAGCTCAAGACTTGGCTGAGGTCCAGGTGGGAGATTCCAGAAACTAGAAGGTTTTCACTAGAAGGTTTTCAGAAAGCCCCAGCCTGTTGACTGCTAGAATCATTCAACAAGGTAATCAAATCCAAATACTTTTCTCTGGAGTTACTCCTGAGTTCATTTCTTATGAAGATGATTGGGAGTTGACAATAGTCTTTCTCTTGTTTGCTTTAAATTGAAAGCCTAAGAGTCTCTGGCAGCGACTGTTTCCTTGTGTCCTTCGCTTCATCACACTAATTGAGTAATAAATGAGGTGTCTAGATTCCAAAATCCAAGCAAGAAATGGGAACTTATGTCCATGCCAGATGTATCTTTCCAAAGTTGGAAAGTGCCTTTGCACTTGGGTTAGCACAGCTACTTTGGTATCTAGTGCAAAGTTCATTACTGACCAGAAGGTTAAGTCCACAAATAAAAAAACCTCCTTTAGATGTTTGAAAAATCCATTTATCAGGCGGTGCCTGTGGCTCAGTGGGTGACCAGCCCCATATATCGAGGGTGGCAAGTTCGAATCTGGCCCCAGCCAAACTGCAACCAAAAAATAGTCAGTCCCAGCTACTCGGGAGGCTGAGGCAAGAGAATTGCCTAAGCCCAGGAGCTGGAGGTTGCTGTGAGCTGTGAAGCCAGAGCACTCTACTGAAGGTGACAAAGTGAGACTATCTCCAAAAAAAAAAAGAAAAATCCATTTATAAAGCAATGTTATGATGGCTTCCACCATAAAAAGTCAACTGTTAAGTGACAAAATGTGAACAGAGCCCTGTGGGGAGGCATACAATTACTGTATAGACTGCTAAAAGTTGACAAATATTTAAGTTCATTCAGAAATATCACAGCTGGTATCTCTGCACAAATGACAGCACTTTTTTTTTTTCTTACACTTCAGAACATTATATACCATATACTCTGAGGAAGCAAAAGTGGGCCAGGCACAGTGGCTCCTACCTAAAATCCTGGCACTCTGGGAGGCCAAGGCCAGAGGATCCTTTGAGCTCAGGAGTTTGAGACCAGCCCAAGGAAGACTGAGACCCTGTCTCTACTAAAAATAGAAAAACTAGCCAGGTGTCATGGCAGCTCTCCCAGAGGCTGAGATAGTAGGATCACTTTAGCCCAAGAGTTTGAAGATTGCTGTGAGCTAGGTTGACACCAGGCCACTCTACCCCAGGGTGACAGGGTGAGACTCTGTCTCAAAAAAAAAAAGAATAAAAGCAAATATTAAGTGCTCACTATCAGCCTGTTGATATTCTAAGCACTTCACATTTATGTAATACTAATAACTACCCTATGAGGTGCCGGCGATTGTTGCCATTGTACAGATGAGAAAACTGAGACAATGTTTAGATAACTTAGGTTATGTTCACATAGCCATTTTGTAGCAGACAGATAAGAAGGCAGGCAGCTGAATTCTAAAGCCCATGCTTTGTTACAATGCTGGTCAAATTGTTACATTCATTTAAAGTAGGATCTGACTTATACCAACTCTTGGGCCACTATAAAAATGGAAGCAATGTTGGCTAATAACCACTGGAAACACCTGGCTGGGGACACAGGGAACATGTTTGTGTGGCACGGTAAGTAAGGAGATAGTCTGACTTGGAAAAAGCCAAAAGAAAAAACCCTTGAGCAACAGTACTTGCTCATAAAATCACTAAAAGATGACAGAGGAGAAAGGACATGAGCTAACCTCTCCCACCCCACCACCTGGATAGGTAGAATCCACTCACCTGCCGCATGCTGGGAAGTGAAATGAAGCCTGCACAGATGCAGAGCCTCAGGCCTGGACTGAACTGGAGGGGGAGCGAACCACATGCCAAAAGAGGGCTGCAATAAGACAATGAGAGGTAGGAACACTGGCAATCTGGAAGCATATGGCACTCTGGAAACTTTTTTTAGTTTTAGCACAAGTGCTTGACTAAACATATCACATATGTAGGTCAAAGTGATCCATGGGCTACAAATTTGTCCTTCCTGAGCTGGAGTTGACTTTATGCTGTTATTACAAATTTGTCCTTCCTGAGCTGGAGTTGACTTTATGCAGTTATCTCAGCAACACAG